GCCCATGACCTCTCCCTGTCGGCCCCGCCCCGCACCTCCAGCCCCGCCCCTTCCACTGGAAGCCCCGCCCTCTGCTCCGCCCCGGGAGGCCCCTCCCCCTCCTCCGCCCTGGGGGGCGTGGCCGCGGGAGGCCCCGCCTCCCCTCATTGTGGAGGAGGGGGCGTGGCCTCCGAGGGCGTGTCCGGAGGTGGGGGCGGGGCCGGAGGGGAGGGGGCGGGGCCTGACCCGGCGCTGGAGCGGCGCCTCCTGCTGCTGCTGTCGGACCTGGCCCTGCCCCTCCCCCGCGACGCCGCCGCCCTCTGCGCCGCCCTCCAGCAGGTGAGACACACCTGGGTACACCTGGGTACACCTGGGTACACCTGGGTACACCTGAGATACACCTGGGCACACCTGGGATACACCTGGGATACACCTGGGTACACCTGAGATACACCTGGGCACACCTGGGATACACCTGGGCACACCTGGACACACCTGGGATACACCTGGGATACACCTGAGATACACCTGGGATACACCTGGGCACACCTGGGCCCACCTGGGTACACCTGGACACACCTGGGATACACCTGGGTACACCTGGGATACACCTGGGATACACCTGAGATACACCTGAGACAAATACAGCCTCACCTGGGCACACCTGGGAAACACCTGAGACACACCTGAGACAAATACACCTTCACCTGGGTACACCTGGGACACACCTGGGCACACCTGGGACACACCTGGGTACACCTGGGACACGCCCTTACCTGGGCACACCTGGGCACGCCCCCCACCCCCTCCCCCCAGGTGTGCTCAGGTGCGCCCAGGTGACCCCCTTGTCCCCTCCCCTCCCAGGGCTCGGCCCCCGCCCCGTCCCCGGCGTCGGTGGAGAGCCTCCTGCAGAAGTTCGCGGCGCAGGAGCTGATCGAGGTGCGCCGGGGGCTCCTCCCCGACGGCCCCACCCTGGTCACCTTCGCTGACCACGCCAAGCTGGCCGCCATGACCGGCCTGGTGGGCGGGGCCTCCCCCTCTTCCAACAAGCGCCACGCCCGCCCCGAGGAGGAAGGGGAAGGGGGCGGGGCCGGCGGGGAAGGGGGCGGGGCCGCGGGGGAGGGGAAGGAGGCGAAAAGATGGCGCCGGGCGACGGCGGCGTCGTCCGACGTGGACCTGGAGATCGAGAGCCTGCTGAGCCAGCAGAGCACCAAGGAGCAGCAGAGCAAGAAGGTGGGCGGGGCTGAGGGGGGGGGGGGGCCGGGGGGGGGGGGGGGGGGGACTGGGGGCGGTGGGCGGGACCATGAGATGGTGAAGAACGTGGAGGTTCCTCAAGGTTTTTGGGGCGCCAAGATGGCGGAGCGGGAGGTTGGGGGGGGGACCCCCAAGGTGGTTTTGGTTGCCCCAAGATAGTTTTAGTTGCCCCAAGACAGTTTTGGTTGCCCCAAGATACTTTTGGGAACCCCAAGATGGTTTTGGGCACCCCAAGACAGTTTTGGTTGCCCCAAGATAGTTTTGGTTGCCCCAAGACAGTTTTGGTCGCCCCAAGGTGGTTTTTGGGTGCCCCCTCAGGTGAGCCAGGAGATCCTGGAGCTGCTCAACACGACGACGGCCAAGGAGCAGTCAATCGTGGAGAAGTTCCGCTCGCGGGGGCGGGCGCAGGTGCAGGAGTTCTGCGACCACGGCACCAAGGAGGAATGCGTCAAGGCCTCAGGTGCCGAGCGGCCCTGCCGGAAGCTCCACTTCCGGTCAGTCCCGGGGCCGGGATTTTGGGGACGTTCTCCGTGGTTTTGGGGGTCTTTTCCATCCTCCTCGCTCTTCTCTGGTTTTCGTTTTCCGTCTCTGATCCGTGGTCTTCGTCCATCTCTCCGCATTCTCCTCTTCCATCCATGACCTCGTGGTCTTCATCACTCTGTGTTTTCCATCTCCTCACGTTCTCTTTCTCCGTCCATGACCTCATGGTCTTCATCACTCCATGTCTTCCTCTTCCATCTCCTCACGTTCTCCTCCTCCATCCGTGATCCCGTGCTCTTCCTCCATGATTTTGTGGTCTTCATCAATCGATGGTCTTCCTCCATGTTCCCATGTCCTCCATCCATCCATGACTCCATATTTTCCTCCATCTCCTCACATTCTCTTCCTCCATTCACGATCTCGTGGTCTTCATCACTCCGTGTCTTCTTCCTCCATCTCCTCACGTTCTCCTTCCTCCACGACTCCTCTTCCTCTCTCCACGTTCTTTCCCCATCATCTCCCAACACCCCCTTAAACCGCCCCCCCCAAACGTGGTGCCTCCCCCCCCGCAGGCGGATCATCAACAAGCACACGGACGAGTCTCTGGGCGACTGCTCCTTCCTCAACACCTGCTTCCACATGGACACCTGCAAGTACGTCCACTACGAGATCGACGCCTGCGCCGCCTCCTCGCCGCCGCTCAGCCCGGCCCGCGCCCGGCCCCGCGACCGCAGCCCCCCGCCCGACCTGCCCCGCGGGCCCCCCGCCGACGCCGGCGCCGACCGCCTCTTCCCCCCGCAGGTACCCCCTCCAAAAAACGGGGGGGTTTGGGTGATGTTCCCTCGCTTTCCCCGTGGTTTCGAGGTGGTTCTCTCACTTCCCGCCGTTTTTGAGGCTATTCCCTCGTTTCCCGCCATTTTTGAGGCGATTTTCCCATTTCCCGCCATTTTCTGAGTCAATCCCTTCGTATTCCACCATTTTTTTAGGCAGTTCCCCCACTTCCAGTCATTTAATGAAGTAATTATTTTATTTCCCGCCGTTTTCTGAGTCAACGCTTTCATATTCCACCGTTTTGTGAATCGATCCCTTCAGATTCCACCATTTTCTGAGGTCATTCCCCTCGTTTCCAACCATTTTCTGAAATACCTCCTTTATTTCCCGCCGTTTTCTGAGGCAACTGCCTTTATTTCAAGTCATTTCCTGAACTAATTACTTTACTTCTCACCATTTCCTGAGGAGATCCCCTCATTTCCCACCATTTTCTGAGGTAATTTTGTTAATTTCCCGCCATTTCCTGAGGGGATCCCCTCATATTCCACCATTTCCTGAGGGGATCCCCTCATATTTTACCATTTCCTGAGGGGATCCCCTCATATTTTACCATTTCCTGAGGCGATCCCCTCATTTCCCGCCATTTTCTGAGGCAATTTCATTAATTTCCCACCATTTTATGAGGCGATTTCCTCATATTCCACCATTTTCTGAGGCAATCCCCCTCATTTCCCGCCATTTTCTGAGGCAGTTTCATTAATTTCTCGCTGTTTTCTGAGGCGATCCCCTCACGTTCCCCCATTTTCTGAGGCAATCCCCTTTATTTCCCGCCATTTTCTGAGGCGATTTTGTTAATTCCCACCATTTTCTGAGGGGATTTCTTTATTTCCCACCATTTTCCTGAGGCGATTTTGTTAATTCCCGCCATTTTCTGAGGGGATTTCTTTATTTCCCACCATTTCCTGAGGTGATTTTGTTAATTCCCGCCATTTTCTGAGGGGATTTCTTTATTTCCCGCC